CCCTGTACTGTGCCCTCCTGACCCCCCTGTACTGTACCCTCCTGACCCCCCTGTACTGAGCCCTCCTGACCCCCCTGTACTGTGCCCTCCTAACCCCCCTGTACTGTACCCTCCTGACCCCCCTGTACTGAGCCCTCCTGACCCCCCCTGTACTGTACCCTCTTGACCCCCTGTACTGTGCCCTCCAGACCCCCCTGTACTGTGCCCCTCCTGACCCCCCTGTACTGTGCCCTCCAGGCCCCCCTGTGCTGTGCCCTCCTGTCCCCTCTGTACTGTGCCCTCCTGACTCCCCTGTACTGTGCCCTCCTGACTCCCCTGTACTGTGCCCTCCTGACCCCCCTGTACTATGCCATTCTGCCTCTCCCCTGTACTATGCCCTCCTGACCCCCCTGTACTGTCCCCTTCTGCCTCCCCCCTTACTGTACCCTCCTGATGCCCCTGTACTATGCCCTCCTGACCCCCCTATACTGTGCCCTTCTGACCCCCCTGTACTGTGCCCTTCTGACCCCCTGTACTGTGCCCTCCTGATTTCCCTGTACTGTGCCCTCCTTACCTCCCTGTACTTTGCCCTCCTGTCTGCTCTGCACTGTGCCCCCCTGTACTGTGCCCTCCTGACCCCCCTGTACTGTGCCCTCTTGTCTCCCCTGTACTGTGCCCTTCTGCCTCCCCCCCGTACTGTACCCTCCTGATGCCCCTGTACTATGCCCTCCTGACCCCCCTATACTGTGCCCTTCTGACCCCCCTGTACTGTGCCCTTCTGACCCCCCTGTACTGTGCCCTCCTGATTTCCCTGTACTGTGCCCTCCTGACCCCCCTGTACTGTGCCCTCCTTACCTCCCTGTACTTTGCCCTCCTGTCTGCTCTGCACTGTGCCCCCCTGTACTGTGCCCTCCTGACCCCCCTGTACTGTGCCCTCTTGTCTCCCCTGTACTGTGCCCTTCTGCCTCCCCACCGTACTGTACCCTCCTGACTCCCCTGTACTATGCCCTCCTGACCCCCCAATACTGTGCCCTCCTGACTCCCCTGTACTGTGCCCCTCTGACCCCCCTGTACTGTGCCCTTCTGCCTCCCCCCCCGTACTGTGCCCTCCTGTACTGTCCCCACCTGAACCCCCTGTACTGTGCCTTTCTGCCTCCCCCCCTACTGTTCCTTTTGTATTGATTAGTCTTTGATTTTTGGCATGTTTTCTTATTGTTTAATTGTAAATATATATTTCATTCTAACAACTATTTACACTTTAATTCTTGGGAGTAGGTGTGTAAATTGGGACAGGCTGGTTGGGGCCCAGTAACATTACTTTGCCCAGGGGCCAATGTTGCTATGAACACGGCCCCGATTTGATGGCATACTGCTCATGCGCAGACATGCTGCAGTTTGCTGCCAGCTCTCTGGCAAAGGCCCAGCTGCGTATCCACCCATGTGCAAGCTCTCCAAATCTGCCCTCTGGGATGTGTGACGTCGATATCCCAGGAGGCAATTTTCAAGACCTCACGCATGCGCGGACATACTGCAGGTCTCTAAAGCCACTGGCAGAGACCTACGGCTTGTATGCGCGGCGGATCCAGCCCTTGCACAGACAGCCCGTGGGGGGGGGGGGGGGTTTGCCAGGTCCCGTAGAAAATTGTGGTGCCATTCTTTTTTGCAATTTAGGATCATGGGCAGAACTGCTGCAATTCCACCTGCGATCAGGGACGTATTTACCGCAAGGCAAACAAGGCGTTTGCCATGGGTGGTGCAATAACTAGAGGGATGCATACAGTCCCGCGCCCGCTATCCACTGTCACTCCATCCCTAACTTTTGTCTGTTTGTCTGATACTGCGCACACCCGCTCCTACCACCACTCTCCATAGTAGCATGAGGCTCTTAGCGGGCCCAAAGCACAGTGAGGGGTGCCCTGTGATTGGCCGAATGGAGGCATGTGTGGTGGCGGGGCTGGCTTGTGGGTGATTGCGGTCTGCACAGGCACAGCCGCTTGCTCCCGCCTTGCTGTCAGCAGGTGAGTGTTGCCAGCCTGGGCCAATGGACATGGACCGGGAGGGGGGCGGTCAGTGGTGTGGTGGCGCAGCTGCCAGCCGATATAGGCGCCACCACCGCGTGATCCAGCAAAATCTGAATCTTGAGAGCCAGTAGTGGCGGCAGAAACTGCGAATGCAGACAGAACACACCGAACTGCTGCAGCCGAAGAGGTCAATTAACCCCTTACAGGCTGAACGCTCGGCAGGAACACAGGCAGCATCATCACTCCCTGCCCTCTCTCTCTTTTCCCCTTCCTGCCCCCCTCTCGCTCTCTACTTGCCCCCTCTCTCTCCCTGCCCCTTCTCTCTCTACTTCTCTCTATCCCTCTCTCTCTCTTTTTTTCTCTCCCTGCCCCCTCTCTCTCTCCCTCTCTCTTTTTTCTCTCCCTGCCTCCTCTCTCTCCTACTCTCTCTCTCTCCTTATCCCTCCCTGCTCCCTCTCTTTCCTTGCCCCCTCTCCCTCTCTCTCTCCTACACTCTCTCTCCCTCTCTACCCACCCCTCTCCCCCTATCTGCCCCTCTCCCTGTCTCTCTCTCCCTGCCCCCTCTCTCTCTCCTGCACTCTCTCTCCCTCTCTTTCTCTACCCACCCCTCTCCCTCTACCTGCCCCCCTCTCCCTGCCTCTTTCTTTTTTGCCCCCCCCCCGCCTCTCCCTCTCTCAGTTCCCAATTTTTGTGTTGCCTAGGGCAGCACAAAACCTAAACACACCGCAGTGCATTAATGCAACGTACAAGAAACACTGTGAATCCAGCCTTAGGGCCGGTTCAGATTATAGAAATGCAGTCCAAATGTGTTCTGGATGCGTTTCCGCATGCACATTTTTTCAGCCTTTTTGCCGCATCGCTTTGCTATTTCTATGCGTTTCTGGCGTGTTCCAGTCCGTTTTTTATGCTTTCCGATTAATTTACCCCCCCTCTCCTTCAATTTTAAAAGGGACATGTACTGTATGTTGCAGTGCATTTTGTATGCGTTCTGGTGCATTTTTATGCATTTTACCGCATTCTACTACAGTTCTGTACAGGAAAAATGCATCCTGTTCTTTTTTTTTCTGCAACCGAAACGCACTGGAACTGCAAGCACTGATGTGAACTATGACATTAACAACCATATCACCTACTTTCTGTGCATTGTGGATGTAGAAAAAAAAAAAGCAACTGAAACGCATGGAGTGTGAACTGGCCTTAAGGCTAGGAACAGATGTGCGGCAAAATTATCATGCCTCTAAAGAGCAATCTAAGTTTGGATCACTTTTCAGAAGCATTTACCAGGTGGTGGGGAGACAATATGTCGCCTATTCACCGCAAATCTTACCCCTTAAATGCCACACCACTGTAGTTGCAGTGTGGACCCATTTGCTAAAATTGGTTATGTTCAAAGGCGGTACTGTTCGCAGAAATTTTATGGGGGGGGGGACAATTTTTTTTTGCGGCTCCAAAGCAAAGCTTGTGAACACACCTCTGCTCGGCACCATTGCAGCTTAAGGGGATGGGGGGCTGTAAAAACGCTGCTCAACGACATGTTTCTACCATCCCCCATCCACAAGTCTAAACTGACCATACAGTCAGAATTTACAGCCCCATTATTTCCGTGTATAACATGTCCAGCCATAACAGAGATGCCTAATTAATTACACGGGGAATTCGATGGGGGATTTCCTGATGACAGGCATGGCGGCCCCGTCCCCTGTGGGCTCTCATACAGACACTGGTAAGTCATAAGTTTCAGGAAATCGTGCTGTCTGCGTAGAACGCACAGGAAGAAAACCCCGCCCCCAAAACAAAAAGATTTAAGGAGGATCCGTCTTCCAATGATACAGGTTTGCAAAAATCTGCAGCAAATCTATTTTCCCGGGAACACGGTAACTTTCTATGGTATCAGGTAGGCAGCAGGGGTGGACTGACCATTTGGAAACTCGGGCACTGCCCGAGGGCCCGGGGTCAGAAGGGGCCCCATGATGAGATGCCCCTTGTACCTTTTTTCATAGGCTTTTTTGAGTTTGGGTAAGGACACAGGGGCCCCATGATCCCCTATTGCCCAGGGGGCCCCATGAGTTGTCAGTCCGCCCCTGGTAGGCAGGTAGAATTTAGTAGCCACTAGATTCAGGTTACGCTTTTAAGGACTGTGGCGGCCACTAGACGTGCGGTTCGCATCATTCCGAATCAGAATTCGGATGAAATTTTCATTATTCAGAGATTCAGATGTATCCAAATTACAATAGTAAAGAATTTAAACGAATCTGAAATATTGAAACAAAATTTTACCCAAAATAATGAATTATCTGAATTTGAAACTAAATCGAATCAAATTCAAAATGGAAACATATTGCATACTGTTGCTGATTTCCTTCAAAGACTGGGGGGGGGGGGGGGGGGGGATTTACTAAAACTGGAGTGCTCAGAATTTGGTGCAGCGGTGCATGGTAGCCAATCAGCTTCAAACGTCAGCGTAAAATTTCCATTAAACGTTGGCAATATAACTTAGAAGCTGATTGGTTTCTATGCAGAGCTGCACCAGATTTTGCACAAAATAAAATGATATAAAATATAGTGTCGCGCTCCTGTGATTATTATTTACATATTACCCATATACCGTATTTTTCGCTCCATAAGACGCACCTAGGTTTTAGAGGCAGAAAACAGGAAAAAAAATATTCTGAACCAATAGACTGCAGACATTATACAGGAGATGACCAGAGACTGCGGACACAGTACAGGAGATGACCAGAGACTGCGGACAGTACAGGAGATGACCAGAGACTGCGGACACAGTACAGGAGATGACCAGAGACTGCGGACAGTACAGGAGATGACCAGAGACTGCGGACACAGTACAGGAGATGACCAGAGACTGCGGACAGTACAGGAGATGACCAGAGACTGCGGACAGTACAGGAGATGACCAGAGACTGCGGACAGTACAGGAGATGACCAGAGACTGCGGACACAGTACAGGAGATGACCAGAGACTGCGGACACAGTACAGGAGATGACCAGAGACTGCGGACAGTACAGGAGATGACCAGAGACTGCGGACACAGTACAGGAGATGACCAGAGACTGCGGACAGTACAGGGATGACCAGAGACTGCGGACACAGTACAGGGATGACCAGAGACTGCGGACAGTACAGGAGATGACCAGAGACTGCGGACAGAACAGGAGATGACCAGAGACTGCAGACATAGTACAGGAGATGACCAGACACTGCGGACATAGTACAGGAGATGACCAGAGTCTGCGGACATAGTACAGGAGATGACCAGAGACTGCGGACATAGTACAGGAGATGACCAGAGACTGCGGACAGTACAGGAGATGACCAGAGACTGCGGACACAGTACAGGAGATGACCAGAGACTGCGGACACAGTACAGGAGATGACCAGAGACTGCGGACACAGTACAGACGATGACCAGAGACTGCGGACACAGTACAGACGATGACCAGAGACTGCGGACACAGTACAGGAGATGACCAGAGACTGCGGACACGGTACAGGAGATGACCAGAGACTGCGGACACGGTACAGGAGATGACCAGAGACTGCGGACACGGTACAGAAGATGACCAGAGACTGCGGACGCGGTACAGGAGAAGACCAGAGACTGCGGACACGGTACAGGAGAAGACCAGAGACTGCGGACACGGTACAGGAGATGACCAGAGACTGCGGACACGGTACAGGAGATGACCAGAGACTGCGGACGCGGGTACAGGAGATGACCAGACACTGCGGACAGTACAGGAGATGACCAGAGACTGCGGACACAGTACAGGAGATGACTGCTGACCTTTGGGGAGGGGCGGGGAGCGGGTACCTGCATTTGACAGGTACCCGCTCTTACTTCTGTGGAGTTGTTCTTTAGCTAGTGTCCGCTCTGCTGCGGGACCTTACCTGTTCCTCTATCCAGCGGCGCGCTGTCTTCCCAGCTTCTGTAGTGTCGGCGCTCGGCTTGACAGCCGGGTGCCCAGTGCGCATAAGCGAGAAGCGCTGCTCTTTGTGATTGGTCCGGCGGCTTCTAGGACCTGTCACGTGTCCCAGGGGCCGCCTTACCATTCACAAACAGTCAAGCCGAGCGCCCACACTACAGAAGCCGGGAAGACAGCGCGCCGCTGGATAGAGGAACAGGTAAGGTCCCGCTGCAGAGCTGAGCGGCCGGCCTGGTATTCTGACACGGCGGCGGTGGAAATACCGGACCGGCCGCTCCATATTTGCTCCATAAGACGCACTGACATTTTCCCCCCTTTTTTTGGGGGAAAAAAGTGTGTCTTATGGAGTGAAAAATACGGTATATCTGAATCTTTAAATTAAATAAATATATATAAATGTGATTAAAATATATAATATATCCTTGTGTGCGTGATAAATCAAAAACTCAAATACTGATCAAATGCTGATTAAATATATCAATAATCATCAAAAAAGTGAAAAATCAATATTATAGGAAATTTACATATAAAATGTGTCCATAAATAAATATATAAAGAGTCCTCTTTGAATTATAGTTAAGAAGGGCTTGCTTCAATGAATGGATCAAGTGCACCAGATTTTGCACTCTCCAGTTTAGTAACTAAACCCCCAGTGTGTATTGTGTTAGGTGTTAATGTATCCGTCTTCTGGAATTCAAATTTCAAAAAGGATAGAAGAGAATAAAACTGAATATTTATTTATTTTTTACATGTACTTATATAGCGCCATCAATTTACGCAGCACTTTACATATATATTGTACATTCACATCAGTCCCTAACCCTCAAGGGGCGTACAATCTAAGGTCCCTAACTCACATTCATACAGTATATACTGTATATATATATATATATACACATACTAGGGCCAATTTAGACAGGATCAAATTAACCTCCCAGCATGTCTTTGGAGTGTGGGAGGAAACCGGAGTACCCGGAGGAAATCCACCAAGGCAGAACATGTAAACTCTAGGCAGGAAGGAGGTGCTGTGGTTGGGATTTGAACCAACGACCCTAGTACTGCCAGGCGGAAGTGCTAACCATTTAGCCACTGTGCTGCCCATGAACAGAAAATAAAAGAATAGAATAGAAAGAATATAGTCATCTTCTGAAATTTTAATTTTGAATAGAATAGAATAAAATAGTAAGAATATCGCTATCTTCCGAATTTCCAAAAGAATAGTAAAGTTTTAGTACAAAACCCCCAGTGTGTATTGTGTTAGTGTTAATGTATCCATTTTTTGGAATTCGAATTTCGAGAATAAAACAGAATGGAACTGAATAGAAAATAAAAGAATAGAATAGAAAATAAAAGAACAGAATAGAAAGAATAGCTGTCTTCCGAAATTCTAATTTTGAAATTCGAGTTTCTGAATAGAATAAAATAGCTGTCTTCCGACTTTTGTATTTCCAAAAGAATAGAAAAGAATAAAATAGAACAGAGAATAAAAGAGTAGAAGTTAAAATAAAGGAATAGAATAGTAAAAAATAGAATGGATTAGAACCGAACAGAATAAAAAAAGAAAAGAAAAGAATAGAAAAATAAAGGAATAGAATAGAAAAGAATGGAACAGAAAGAATATAGCCATTTTCCAAAGTTTGAATTTCCAATAGGATAGAACCAGCTATTCTTCACAATGGATTCAGATATATTTAATATTTTTAATTCAAGCTTAATTTTAATACTTCAAATCATTTGGATAAATTTGTATATGGTCGAAAACGAATAAATGAAATGAAACAAATTTTGTTACGAATGCAACAAAATGAAATTAGTAACTTAACAAATCAATTCTAAACAAAACAAATCTTTTTTTGTTCTGCACATGTCTAGCAGCCCCTGAAGTGCGTTGTGAAAGTAAATAATTGACTCCTCATGCCATTTACTTTTTTTTTCAACTTTATTGAAATGACAAAAAAAATAAAAAATCATCCCCATTGTGTTTATTTTATAAAAAATGAGACGTTACTTAAGCCTTTTCTGATACTTTTTGTTTACATGTAAAAATCAGTATTGCTAGAAAATTATTTAGAACCCCCAAACATTAGATACAGTTGCAGGAAAAAGTATGTGAACCCCTGGGATTACATGGAGTTTTGCATGAATTGGGCATAAAATGTGCTCTGAACGTCATCTAAGTCACAACAATAGAAGAACACAGACTGCTGAACATAATACTACACAAACATTAGATGTTGCCATGGTTTAATTGCACACAACATGTAAACATTCACAGTGCAGGGAGGAAAAAGTATGTGAGGTCCTAGCTTAATGACTTCTCCCAGAGCTAATTGGAGCCAGGAGTGAGCCAACCTTGACTCCAATCAGTGTGATGATATTGGATGTGTTGCTGACAGCTGTCCTGCCCTTAAAAAACACACACCTGTTTTGGGTTTACTGGTTTCAAGAAGCACTGTCTGATGTGAACCATGCCTCGCAGAAAAGAGCTCTCAGAAGACCTACGATCAAGAATTGTTGACTTGCATGAAGCTGGAAAGGGTTACAAAAGTATCTCCAAAAGCCTTGATGTTCATGTGTCCACGGTAAGACAGACTGTCTACAAATGGAGAAAGTTTAGCACTGTTGCTACTCTCCCTAGACGTGGTCATCCTGTAAAAATGACTGCAAGAGCACAGCGCAGAATGCTGCATGAGGTAAAGAAGAATCCCAGAGTGTCAGCTAAAGACCTACAGAAATCTCTGGCACATGCTAACATTTTTGTTGACACATCTACAATAAGGAAAACATTAAACAAGAATGGAGTACATGGGAGGACACCACGGAGGAAGCCATTGCTGTCCAAAAAGAATATTGCAGCACGTTTGAAGTTTGCAAAAGAGCACCTGGATGTTCCACAGCACTACTGGCAAAATATACTGTGGACAGATGAAACCAAGATTGAGTTGTTTGGGAAGAACACACAACACTATGTGTGGAGAAAAAAAGGCACAGCACACCAACATCAAAACCTCATCCCCACTGTGAAACATGGCGGAGGGAGCATCATGGTTTGGGGCTGCTTTGCTGCCTCAGGGCCTGGACGGATTGTTGTCATTGATGGGAAAATGAATTCCAGTGTTTATCAAGACATTTTGCAGGAAAATGTACGACCATCTGTCCGCCAACTGAAGCTCCGCAGAGGATGGGTGATGCAACAGGACAATGACCCAAAGCATACAAGTAATTCAACAAAACAATGGCTGCAACTGCACAGAATACGCCTTCTGGAGTGGCCCATTCAGAGTCCTGACCTCAACCCGAATGAAATGCTGTGGCATGACCTTAAGAGAGCGATTCACACCAGACATCCCAAGAATATTGCTACACTGAAACAGTTTTGTGAAGAGGAGTGGTCCAAAATGACTCCAGATCGTTGTGCAGGTCTGATCTGCACCTACAGGAAACGTTTGGTTGAGGTTATTGCTGCCAAAGGAGGGTTAAGCAGTTATTAAGTCCAAAGGTTCACATACTTTTTCCTCCCTGCACTGTGAATGTTTACATGTTATGTGCAATTAAACCATGGCAACATCTAATATTTGTGTAGTATTATGTTCAGCAGACTGTGTTCTTCTATTGTTGTGACTTAGATGACGTTCAGAGCACATTTTATGCCCAATTCATGCAAAACTCCACGTAATCCCAAGGGGTTCACATACTTTTTCTTGCAACTGTATATATTTTCTAAAGCAGAGGCCCTACAGAATAGAATGGTGGGTGTTGCAATTTTTTATGTTGCACGGTATTTGCGCAGCGGTTTTTCAAATGCATTTATTTAAGAAAAAATACACTTTTTTTTTCATTTTAATGCACAAATACACAATATAATACCCAATTGTTTGGTAAACTAGAAAAGATGATGCTATGCCAAATTAATAGATACCAAACACGCTACGCTTAACAATTGTGCACATCTCACTGCATTTTGCGGACGGCTTTCAGGGTGTTGTTAACATACACACCCGCAGCGGTTCGCATAAATGGGGTGCGATTCTGATGCGGCGTGGAATTCGCACAGAGAACGCCACATCAGTGTGGCTCAAAGTCCTGCAATGTACCGGTACATCGCTGGTCCTTAACCCCTTCACACCTAAGGGTAAAACAAATCTTAAAGCCTAAGTAAAATTTTACAACTTTGACACGTGTTAGTAAAACCCGTACATATCATCACTACGACTTTGTACATCCAGGTGAATTATACCGCGGTTTTTTTCAGAACAAATTGGGCTTTCATTGGTGGTAAATGGTAATGGATATCTCCTGATTATTTTTATTATCAAAGGAAAACTGGCCTAATAGTAAAAAAAAAAAAAATTTTTGTTAAATTTAGCTGTGTGTTTCTTGTTACTACCATAACCTACCACCAAAGAACAACCCAAAATAAATTTTCCAGCTCCTGACGATCGCAGAGATACCATATATGTGTTTTATTTGTTGTTTGTACCCAGAGTACAGCCCAGAAACAACAGTGTGCGTTTTGTTTTTTTTTTACCTAAAACATACTGACAGATACCAATTAAAAAAAAAGAAAACCTGACCTTTGACCCTGACCTTGGCCCAAACACTAATCCTGGCACTGAACTAGACCAAACCTTGATCTATGTATTTTCTCTTTTATGTTATAATATTTATTTATCTTTTTTTTTTTACACAGTTGTTTTTTTTTTCTCTATGCAAGGAGACAGAGATACAATGTATTGCTCTCCTCCA